GGAGAAGGATGCTAGCTGCATAACTTTATACATGTCAACTGAGAAGTGTCATTGAATTCAAGCAAAACCCTACAGACAAAACTGTGTACTAATCCTCAAACATTTTCCTCCCCATCTGTACAGATGGTGGAGTTGGATGCAGCAAAATATGACATCAGTTTGGAGGAGGAAAAAGAAATAGGACAAAAAAAATATGAATGTCTGTGAAGTGCTTCAGATTCAGTTTTAAACAGAACATGCAAATGGTCCCTTTTCCTGGAATTGCATGTGGCCCTTTTGAAAAGTTGCAGGTAGATGCTATATTCCTGCCTCCAAGTACTCCTAAGCACTTTTTTGGAATCATATCAAAAGAACTTGGTTGTTCCTTGATGGAACAGAATGCAGGTGAAAGGAAATTTTTTGTCCAGTTGGCCAAAATGGAAATAAAATCCCTAGCTGGAAAATGAAGTTCAGATCTTGCAAAGATGTTTAAAGTGTTCCTTTAGGAAAACTACAAACCAGCGAAATGGACGTAAAATGAATAGATACGTGTCCAGTGCAGGTGGTTTTCATCCAGTCATCCCTATTGGTTGCTCATGTATTATGATCTTCGGCTATAGGTATTTGGAATGGAAACTTGGGTGCTATATATGTTTATAGGTTTTAATTTCCCCAAGCATACACACAGAACTAGTCCTTCTTCCTCAGGAAGAAGACAAATGGTAAATCACTTCTGAAAATGTTGCCAAGAAAATTACATGGACTTCTCTAGGCCAGGAAGTCAAGATAGAAATGCATATAGTGTTCTTATGAGCTATGAATATGGGCATCATTTTTCATTTTTGATTGTGAAATGATTTTGCTATCAAATTTAATGTTACTTTTAGTATATGATTTTAACTTTGGATATTTTCTTTTTGTTTCTTATATTTTGTTTTTCACTGGAGGTAGTCATACCAGCAGAAGGGCAGGATATCGAGTAAAGAAATAAATACTGTTTACATTTTGGATATTTGTTGTTTTGACATAGAGCATATTACTCAGAAGTAAAATCTATTGAGTTGAATTATTTATCCCATGGGAGATTCCATACTAATGCTCATTCAGTACCTTTATTCAATTACTTGCTGCTTATACTTTCAGTTGCTTCTGTGGTAAACTGTTAAATGTCAAAATAACTATCAGAATTTGCTTTAAACATGCCAGACAAAATCCATCTCCTTCTGTATGGGATGAATGTATGCATCCAATACAATAAGGTCTTTCTTTGATAGTCAGATACTTTCCTAAAGCAACCTAGAAATTAGAGCAAACCCAAGCTTATCTACTCAGTAGTAAATGCTACTGAATTCATTGGGAATTTTTTTCTGTATAAAAACATAGAATTGCTATCTAAAGCACATTGTATTTATGGATGTCATAATTCCTTATGAATGATCTATAAAATGCACCCCCTACAACCAGGGTGCACAAATAAGCATAGTCCAATGTACTTGTACTATGAAATAAAGCATATACAAATGTAGAAATAATATATATTCAAGGATGTTTAAAGTAACAAATATATTTTTGTAATTCAATATGATCGCATTTCACAAAAGTGATGTTTTTAAAAGGCATTCTTTATCTGCCCCCGATTTCTGAATTTCATTATGCTTGTAGGTGAAATGAATTGCAATTTGAATACAAATTTTACAAATTAAAAAAAGTACACCTAATAAATAAGATCCCTTAGTTTTCCTTTGATAGGCATTGAATAATTAACCTATCAGCGAACCAAGAATGTGTCTGAAGATATTGTTTTCTGTTAGTCTTGTTTGGACAAATGTATTGTGTTGCCTCTAGAATGGCTTTTGGACATAGTCCAGAAACTACAGGTGGTTAAAAAAATGAATTTAATCTGGGACTAGATGATGTTCATATTGTATACCATCCCTACTTTGTGTGTATTGCTTCCAGCTTCTTTTAGAGTCAAGGGTTATGGTTTTGACCTCTAAGACTATCAGTGATTGATACTTTTTGATGAAAAAGATTTTCATTTAAATGTTTGCAGAGCGGAAGTAGGACCATTTCCAGATATTTAAGAAAATAATATGAGAGTTTTGTTTTGCTTTTTAAATGTGAGATCCCTCTCTTGGGGTCTACATTGTCCTTTTTATCTGCTTCCCTAACTCACAATGGCAGGGAACTGCTGTCTGTTTTCAGCAATACTAGCTAGAAGGGTCCCAAACTAGAGCTGTGGTTGCAAGCTGCTTATCTCTGACATAAAGGAAAGCCATCTAGGTCAATGTCAGTTAGCCTTGAAGGTAACAGAAGCATGATTTTACCTGAGTTTGCCTTTGAAAAAAATCAAGGGCAAGGCAATTTAGTTTGAGCCAAGTTGGGTTTAGAAATTCAATGAGTGTGTGTGTGTGAGGGGGGAATCTAGTCTCAAGGCTCTCTAATGCTTCATTTTTTGGCAGAATGGGATGAAAATGACAGGATTGATAGATGCTTTATAGAAAATTAGCTCTACTCACCTTCAGCTGAATAGCTTCCAAGGTTTAGATTCAATATCATTCAAAAGATTCTCCAGCACCACTTTTAAGACAAAGGTATCAGGGCTGAAGAAGGAACAGTAGTCTTGAAAGTATCCAACAAAGGATATCTCTTATTCCAACTTAAAAATACGAGCTTTCAGAGTTTAAAAAGTAAGCTTAAGTCCACAGGCCAAATCACTTCATCAAAACAAATCTTGTTTTGATGTAATTGTTGTACAGTCCCCTGATTTGTTTTCCTGCACTGAAATAAAACTGTAAATCTGCTTCAATAGATTAATTAAAGTGAAGCTTCATCAAAGCAAAACACATCTTTGAAGCTTTGCAGCAGTCTAATAGCTTTCTCTAGTGTATGTTCTAAAGTCATATATATAAAAAAGATACTCCTGTTTGTGATTTTTTTTCTCAAATTTGAAGGATAGCTACTAGAGCGAGAACCATTCTGATAATGGACTCTTGATATAGAATCTTTTTCCCCAGATAGTTTTGCAGTTTCTATGGAATCTTCAGTGCAGTCATTCAATTGTGAAGTCATCAGGACTGTAGCTGAAACTGGACATAGTTCCACCTTGACATGCATAGATTCACCTTGACATGCAATTCATAGGGACAGGTTGAAATTAAAGAGAACTCCCAAGATATACACTTACTTCTTTGAAGGAAAAGCTACTTCGTCACTTCAATCTGTCCAACAATCACTTGGTTACAAAATCTGCTAGCTATGGGTTCAACTTCCATTTCCCAGCCTTCATTCAGTTCATCACTGCTGTGGAATGGCATATGGAAAGTATCTCCTGATTAAGAGAAAGGACAGATAGAAGTGAGGCTTATGTTCATATGGACTACACCACGCTCCAGATCTCTGGTAACCACCCCCAATGATTTCAAGATTGTGATTGAATTGTGTAGATTTGTTTTTTTCATTCCTGTCTGGACGGATTGTTTTTTTGTTTTTGTTTTTGTCATTTTCACAAATTTTTATTCTTCATTTTTGTTTATTGGCGCATTTCTTATTTTTAGTGTTTTTATTTAGTAGTAAATACCCTATTCAAAAATTGTGGTATCAGACAAAAAACTTGCATGGTCATCTCCTGATTGCTATCCTGCTCAGAAAATTGGAACCATCATAATACTTGGGTTTCCTCTTCCAACCCATTTAGTCATAGTATCCCAATGTCAAGGATTTTCCTAGAATCAACAGGGTAGCAGACTACGGTTTTAATCACTGATAAGGACACCAAGGCTATTTTTGTGAAATATCCTGGTGGGAAACCAAGCTGACATGGACCGAGATGAAGCAAGGAACCTGCCATTCACAAAGGGAAATGTTCACATGTGCCACATTGTCAATTTATGTATTAAAATCATTCAAGTGTCTTAATAAAATAGTTCTAACCAGCTATCCAAAGCATACAACAGATAAGGCAAATAACCTTGCCTAGAATAAGAGAATCAAAAGGGTTTGCTAAGCAAGCAAAAGTGCAGGGTATCATACACCTTAAGTAAGAACAGAAATGAGAGTAATTTATGAACTAAGAGCTTAAATTTGACACAAATATGTCATTTGTTAAGAGGAAAATTCCAGCAAATCAAAGGTGTATTTAATTTCCTCTAGTCTGCTGAAATACTTACTATGAATAATACATGGGTTTCTTTTTAATTCCTTATTCACAAACACTTCTGCCTCTAATGAAATCAAATATATAAATTTAATTATACATATTTGGTCATTGTTTTCTCCATTGTTTATGTCACTACAATCACATTGGAAAAGCAGATGGACTCATTCTTTGTAGGCCCTATAATGGAGGGTATTCAGAATAGAGGAGAGAGATTTGACCTTTTTGGGCAAAGAGAGACAGAAAGGAAAATGCTGATTCCCCCCCACCCCCACCCCCATTAGTGCTCTGACAAAAGTAGACAGGTCCAGCTGGATTCAATCGTGGATTACTATCAAAAGGAAGAAATCTCTTTGTACCAAGCTCCTTTGCCAGCCTTAGCTAACACAATCTGCCATGAAATGTAGGGCTTCAGGTAGCAGGCTCATAAATAATTCTTTCTGTGATCCTATCCTTGGAGAAACAAGTGGCAGAGCAAATATTGGCATGCAAAGTATGGATGCTGTTACTGAGGTTTGGTTTCTTCTAAAATGTCTGTAGGATTTAATGTATGGCCCAAAGGAAATCTTCTAACTTATGGTAGTAAGTTATGGTAGTAGCTGATGTTTTGTTTTTTAGTATATTTTCTCCTTCCCTCTCTCCCTCCCTCCCTCTCTCTCTCTGTTTAATAATAATTTTAAAAGTCATTCTGAATGAATGAATAGTCAAGTGAATTAAAAATAAAACCATGTCAGATATATGCATTGGGCCAAATAAAATACAAATTATACTCAAGCTGAAAATAAATTTCTTAACTATTCATGCTTTTCTTGACTGCAATCAATCATACACATGGTATTAACCATTTTTACTATTTGTTTCCCAGAATGCTCAAGCCAGCTATGATTTTAGCAGTAATGATCCATATCCATATCCCCGCTATACAGATGATTGGTTTAACAGGTAAGAAATTGATTCAAATCCTTGCTTGTCAGGAATTTCTCACTCTACTCAGACTTTTACTGACCTGGAAGAATGGTTCATGACCACTGTTCCACAACCTCTACAAACTTCATATTTTATGAAATCAACATTAAAGTCAAGATTCATGGACCCATTATCATGTGGCTTTTAGCTTTGCTTGTGGTCTGAATTCAGCTAGTGTGAATTTTGAGCATTATACCTTAACATATGGAGTGAATTCAGCTAGTATGGCTTAATCAACAACTCATGGCTTGATGTCTGTGGAGACTCTCAGTCATCCAGGTCATAGTTGTCTCAAGGGTGCTTATTTAAAAGGCAACTAGGGCTGTGTTTTTTCCTTGAGGAAGAAGCCATTTCACTGCTCATTCAAGAAGCTTCATCTGACTGGATGGTGGTGGTGGAGGGAATGGGTGAAATCGCTAGTTCAAACAACTCATTATTTGAGATAACTCATGTCTTACGGCTATGTGTTAATCCAGTCAACATTTCACAATTCATGTAGGTGCTGGAGACTAAAAGTTCATATGTTTCTTTCCTTTCTAAAAAAACAAACCAAGTTATTAGGAAAAATAGATCCTCAGGTGATTTGATATTCATGGTAAGAACTGAAACCAGATATTGCACTACAGCATTGGTATGATGAGAAAAAAAGCAGCATTTGTGTCTTCAGTACATAAAACTTTGGGCTTGCCTAGGAAAGTTTGTAGCCAAGGATCTCCCTTTTTGCAAAAAAAAAAAAAAGAAAGAAAGAAAAGAAAAGGCACAAATGAGCCAACATTCTCACATGGAATACTTGGGTCAGATCTATGCCTGCAATCAATTTTAATTTCTGTATTGAGCCCAGTCTGTTTACTCTTGAATTTTACCAGGCTGCCAAGGTAAGAAGCATTTGATCTATAATTGCTTATAAGGTAAGAACACTAAAAGGGAGTCTATGGATTCAGGCTTCATTGGAATCTCAATCTTAGGTTTCTAAGCACTCTGGGAAGGCACATTAATTTTACTTGGCACTCTTTCTATAAAATCCACTTAACTTAATTGGACCAAGCTCATATTATCCTTTCTTTCCTTTTAAAAAAAAATCTTCTATCAAAGTAATATACACTTAGAAACATCATCTTGTAGCATGGATATTTTTCCCCAGGTATATCACCTATATCACCAGGCTTGAAATTTTGGGCTTGGACAACCTTCAACTATGCCACCAATGGTTGGACTTAAGTATAGTACACAGAATTATCTGCTACAATGTTCTACCAGTCAATGATTACTTCAGCTTCAACCATAACAATACAAGAGCACACAACAAATACAAACTCAATGTTAACCGCTCCAAACTTGATTGCAGAAAGTATGACTTCAGCAACAGTGGTCAATGCCTGGAATGCACTACATGACTCTGTTGTTACATCCTCTAACCCCCACTTCTTTAACCTCAAACTATCCACTATTGACCTCACCCCATTCCTAAGAGGTCTGTAAGGGGTGCGCATAAGCGCACAATTGTGCCTACCATCCCTGTCCTATTGTCCCCATTTATTCGTACCTATTTACTGTATTCTTACTCATGTTTATACATATACCTATTATCTTGTAAGCAATTGACAAATCAAATAAATAAATAAAATAAAATAAAAAATAAATCAGAAGCTTACAAGCCAACAGTATCTTTGCCTTCAAGAGAAGGTGCCAGGAACCTATTCGATTCATTCATTCATTCATCCTGTCACATATTGCAGAAAGAATGGAAACAACTTTTTTTCATTTTCAGGCAGCATTTAGTGGAGAATTGCTCAGAGGTAGTGACTAAAGGCCAAATTAATTAGCAATTATATAGATATTTTTAATCAATCTCCTACGGAGAAAAGGAGTCAAACATTTTTTTATCTATTGAAGTTCTGATCTTGTTACTCTTATGGGAGAAAAGGTAATATTTACATGAATGTATGCTTTTCCATGAAAGTAATCAAAAACATTAAGCAGATATGGACAACCTGATCTCCTTCATCTGATTTAGATTACAGATCCAGCAATCTTATATACCATTGAGCATGCTGATTGTGGGAAATTAAAGTCTAAAATATCTAGAGGGCACCAGATTGCTGATGCTAGTCTGGATTTTGCAGCCCAGATCTGATAGTTTTAACAAAACATGGTTTTGGATCAATCAGTCTTTTTGTAGTCTAGCTTAGGATGTAACTTTTTAAAATGACAAGTGATTCCATGAGGCTATTAACTTGTGTCCTAAGGCAAATGGAACTCAATATTTTTTTGCTATTGTATAGAACTACTGGGCTGAAAAAAAAAAAATTGGGTAGGGCTACAGGACTTCATGACCACCAGATGATAGAAAAGAGATACAGTACAAAAAGACCTAACTCTTTCCTGCCATCCTATGGTCATATAAATCTTTACAGCCCAGAAATGATTAAACTTCAAAATACAAATGATTTGTGTAGTGTCTTTGATTGCAATGATAGAATATTTGTTTTCTAATATTTATCTTGCAATGGTTCAAGAGCTTCTCTCATGGATTCATTTGTGTGAGATGGCAAACATTTTGGTGCACTGGAAAATATCAAAAGATAAATTCCCACTCGGAGAGTCATTAAAATGAACCTTGTCAGATGTCAATGGGGCTTCTGTTTAAGTAGCATGCTTAATATTACACTGTTAATTCAGTGGGGAAAGTATGAGAGAAGAGTAATATTTCTCTAACACCATAATCAATTCTACTATAAGGGAAGTCAGAATTATAAATGAAATTAGTAATTTGCTCCTTGGTCTGAAATGTCTTTTTTAGTTTGGCTCCTATACAATGTTTATGATTGATTTCCCAGACATGGGTTTCATTTAAGTGGTTTTTAGAAGGGAAAAAATGATTTTCTTTTTTTAAATCAACTATACATTGACTCATGCCTACAGGCAGTTGCTTTGAAAATTGGTGAATGAATTCTATCACTTGTAGTTTCCCCAAATTGTACAATACCCCATAGGTGCTTTTTCAAGAGACAACTGGACTTTCTTGTTTTTCTTTAAAGATGTTTCACTTCTCATCCAAGAAGCTTCTTCAGCTCCCTAGACATTTAGCTATGTACTTTGGAATGAACATCCTTTGAATGGTGGGGGAATATGAATGGGTTTCCAGAAAAAATTGCAAACTACAGGAACCCTTTGCACTTCAGTTTGAGATGTAGACAGCACAGACTCATCTTCATAGCCTATGTTCAACAGTGAAGGGACACAGGGCAGAAAACAATCTGCAGAAAGCATCGCTCCATAACACAGTCCATTCAGCAGTTCCAAGAAGGCTCCACACCCATTTGCACTACTCAGGTGATGCAGAGGACACAGATAAACCTCCAAGTGGCCTCAATGAGTCTCTAAAAGAATGCAAATGATCAGCTTTCTGCAAGGAATATAAATCTTCCCATTCTCCTACCATCCATTCAGAGCTGAAGAAGTTTCTTGGATAAGAAGTGAAACATCTTCAAAGAAAAACCAGGTGCTTTGGGATAATCATGCACCTTTGGGATAATCATGACCTGAATGACTGAGAATCTCCATAGACAATATCACAAATACGTTCATGTCTGCTTGAAGAAGACACGACACTTGACAGGTAACTAATACATTGCAATTAATTCAAAAAGAAGAAGAGTGCAAATGTTCAGAGGTCTTCAGGTTTCTGCATTCTGGTAAAACATCTCAGTTCACTAAGTGAAATTCCTTTATAAGCCAAAGTCTTAAATTTAGTAAAGAACAATTGGTTTTATGTTTTTTATTTCTAACCAAGCAACTCACCTTTCTGAATTTCTCAGAGAAATCAGTCATATATTAGGCAAATCCTTTTTGGCTCATGTTTTCCTATGATATTGCAAGCTCTACTGATTTGGTCTTTGAGAGAGATGGGTGGTGCACGCGCACGCACACACACACAAACATATGTATGTATGTATGTATGTATGTATGTATGTATGTATGTATATAGTATTACTTAAGTTAAATACAGTTAAAACAGTTACAACTTATGTCCTTGTTGTTATTTAATCAATTTCAATGAACTATACATTATTCTTTTATCCTGGGTCTTCCATGGAGTTCCAATTACCTCCTGTTCAAACACTAGAGAGACCCACTCCTATTGACAGCACCAACATGTTAGGGAGATGGAGATAGATATCGGGGGGGATGGGGGGGGGGCTATGCTGGTTTTTTTTTTTCTTGTCTCTATCTTTTCTCCAGGAATTCCATTGATGAAATGATAACCCAAATGTATTGGTCTTTTTCCCATTTTATTTTCTCTCCTATTCCAGACTCACTCCTTTAACAGAACTGAGATTTCTCTGTTTTTATACCTAATGTGTCACATACTAAAAATTAACTGATATGGCCATTCAAATGTTCCAGGGACATCCATGAGAGAAATAAAAAAGTGAAGATGACCGCTGTTATGCTGTAAAGCTACATTCCTTTTTAATATGCATGTGACATTTGATTAAAAAGGTGGGGCTTTGATAGCTTAATAGCAAACACCTCCTTGATTTTTTACTCCCCCTGCAGATGCCCTTAGGGTCATATAAAACAAATCATCTTGCCTAAGCCAACTTTGAAGGCTACGTGCACCACTTTTCTTCTATTTAATTATTTGCAACTGGCATTGGTGAAACAGAAAACCAATGTTGACTGGGTAGCTCTTAATATTAAACATGAGGCAGTAGCAATAGCAATAGCACTTAGATTTATATACCATTTTACAGAGCTTTACAGCCCTCTCTAAGCGGTTTACAGAGTCAGCATATTGCCTCCAACAATTTGGGTCCTCATTTTACCGATCTCAGAGGGATGGAAGGCTAAGTCAACCTTGAGCCTGGTGAGATTTGAACTGCCAAATTTCAGGCAGCCGGCAGGCAGCAGAAGTAGCCTGCAGTACTGCACTCTAACCACTGCGCCACTGTGGCTCTTGTATTGAATTCTCAGTAGTTGAACTATAGAGACAATAAAGTTTTTCAATCCTATCTAATGCTTTCTAAGATATGAATGTGGAAAACAGATCTGCGGTTTGACTTTAAAACAATATGTAAAATTATTATTATTATTATTATTATTATTATTATTATTATTATTATTATTATTATTATTATTATT